AGGCTCCAGCTGTTCCTCTGCCTCACTGCTGTCTAGCTCCGTAGGCACCTGATCACTGCCAGACAGCCTTGGCCCCATTTCTGCCTCCGACGCAGAGCCCTCGTCCGAGCCTTCCCCAGCCTCCAGGACTGGCCCATGCTCCTTACCAACCTCCTCACTGTCCGACTCTGCTGCCAGCTCCACTGGCTGCTGGCGGGCCACAACAGGCTGTCATTTCCCAAATGGGACTGTGTCAATTTATCTGGGGCATTGTCTCAGGCAAAGTTGGAACAAGTTCTGGGATTTGGGCTCACACATTTCTGATGGCTAACAACCCTCTTTTGAAGAAAAATTTTCTCAAAGGATAACTTTGTTTGGTTCCAATCAGCATAAACCGCAACTGAGATGATCAAATCTAGGTGATCAAGTCTAGATCAAATCTAGAACAGCATCCTCTCTGCTGATTGAAAACATCAACCAGGGTTTTCCCCAGCCCTAAAACTGAGAGGTTATTTAAGGCCTTTGGCATGCAAAACGTGCATTCAACCTTTTGGGTTCTTGAAAAATATGTTTCTATGTACCCTCTGCAGGAACCAAACTCTTATTTCTTCTTGGCTTCAGGCATTTAGCACTTGTCCTCTTAGATAGCAGCTGTGCTTCCAAAACATACCTAGGTTTGCTTGGTAAACTGACTTTCCTTTCAACTGACCAGCATGCTAACTTTCTGTTAAAACAGAGGTGTGCGTTTGATCGTGATGCGAGCCCTTCGTCCTGCTCGAGCGTCAACGGAGAGATAAGGACAGAAGAGGAGGTAAGCGCAAAGCAAGTTTTGGAAGTGTAGGTTGGATGAGAACTTGTAGAGGAACTGATCATCTGCAACGTTCGTGCTTGTAAAGTTGACTGAGCAGAGATGATAAAGAACTGAATGTCCCTCTATGTACCAGTGATGGCAAACAGGGCGTGTATGTGTGTTTGCGACAGCACGCGTGCCAGCACCCATAATACAGTGTGGGAGCAACACCCCTCCCCCTGCGCATCTGCACGTGACTTCCTTCACTCCCGCTTCCCCCGCGCATGCACATGTGACACCCTGCGTCCGATTTTGGGCCTTCTGTACGTGGAAGCCCACTAATCTCTTAGCATATAACCCCCAGAGGTCATCTAATAGCCATTGGTCCTTGCGACTTCCAGAAATTGGTCCCTTTTCTGAAGCCAGCCAAGCTGGCAGCCAGCAGTACATAATGTTCCTTTTTTTTAATTAGCTTATACGAAATACAAGAGCAAATAATAAGGAACAAAAGGAAGGGAAAGGGAATGGAGAAAAGTGTAGGAAAGAAGGGAAAAAAGGAAAAAAAGGCATTGACTTCCAACTCTCTCTGGTGCATTAGAATAAGACATCAAACCTCAACTTTTTACTCTTTCCATAATAATGTATAAACTAGCCGTTTCTGTAACCACAAATCCATCTAATCAGTAACACCCAAAATCAAGGTTCCATTTTTGTTCCTACCTCGAGCACTACACAGCTATAGATGAAGCATGTACCAGTGATACCCATTGTCATCAGGGCACTTGGCACCATGTCCTAGAATTTTATAAGATGCATCAACAAATTGCAGCTTCCGGTAATAACACCAGCGGAACTGCAAAAAACTACGCTAATTGGAACATCTTATATTTTAAGAAGGTACTTGGGTGATACCTAGGACGCTGGCAGCAAACCGTATCAACTATTAGCTCCAGTTAATGGTATTTGTAATGCATTTCTGAATGTTTAGTTGGCCGAGTTTCATGTTTAATGAATAAAGTACTGTATATAATAATAATAATAATAATAATAATTAATTATCCATTTTAACAAATCTCCCTTATTGCAATGATCCTTTTGTTATATTTCCATGTTTCTAACTTCCGTTTTTATTAGCTAACCACTGATCAAATAAATCCCATGTCAAGAAATATTCAGTTTCTTCCTTTTCCTTAATTATAAGTGCTAGTCTATCCATTTCTGCACAATTTACTTTCTGCAAAGTGCATTCTGGCTTCTTACTTTCAGTTCCTCTTTTTTAAATAGGAAACGTGTTGTTATCAAAGACTAAGAAGCCAGCTGTCCTGGCCTTGGAGCACGTGCTGGTCCACGCAGGATATTTTACTGCTAGGTAAGCTTAAAATATACCTTGGTTGCAAATGGATTGGCTTAAAAAGGAGGAGAGCCCTAGAAGAAGAAATCAGTATCATCTGACTTCAATGTTGCTATGTGTTGTTTTTCAAAATTTGAATATACATATATATGTATGTATGTATGTATGTATGTATGTTTGTATGTATGTATGTATATACAACATACACACACACATACANTCTCTCTCTCTTTTCCTTCCTTCCCTCCTTCCTTCCTTCTTTATTTCTCTCTCCCTCTCTCCCTTTTCCTTCCTTCCTTTTTTCTTTCTTTCTCTCTCTCTCTCTTTTCCTTCCTTCCCTCCTTCCTTCCTTCTTTATTTCTCTCTATTTCTCTCCCTTTTCCTTCCTTCCTTTTTTCTTTCTTTCTCTCTCTCTCTCTTTTCCTTCCTTCCCTCCTTCCTTCCTTCTTTATTTCTCTCTCCCTCCCTCCCTCCCTCCCTTTCCTTCCCTCCCTCCTTCCTTCTTTATTTCTCTCCCTTTTCCTTCCTTCCTTTTTTCTTTCTTTCTCTCTCTCTCCCTTTTCCTTCCTTCCCTCCCTCCTTCCTTCCTTCTTTATTTCTTTCTCCCTCCCTCCCTTTCCTTCCTTCCCTCCCTCCTTCCTTCTTTATTTCTCTCTCCCTCTCTCCCTTTTCCTTCCTTCCTTGTTTTCTTTCTTTCTCTCTCCCTGCCTCCCTCCCTCCCTTTTCCTTTCTTACTTTCTCTCTCTCTCTCTCTCTCTCCTTGCTCCCTCCCTCCCTTTTCCTTCCCTCCTTTCTTTCTCTCCCTGCCTCCCTCCCACCCTCTTCTTTCCTTCCTTCCTGACTTTCTTTCTCTCCCTCCTTCCCACCCATTTCCTTCCTTTTTTCTTTCTTTCTCCCTCCCTCCCTCCCTTTTCCTTCCTTCTTTCTTTTATCCTTCATTCCTTCCTCCAACTCTGGGTGATTTAAATTTAATTTAGCTTAATTTAATTTAACTTAATTTAATTTAATTTAACTTAATTTAACTTAACTTAATTTAATTTAATAATTTAATTTAACTTTGATGTTTTAAATGCTTTGCAGATCTGCTGTGGCTGGAAGCATGCACCACAGGGGTAAAAGCCAGTCAAACACTGGCTAGTTGCCTTCATAAGAAAGATAAAAATGAATGAAGGATAAACCTTGGCTTAATTCTTGCTGGCAGGGCTGATTTGCAAAAAAGAAAGAAAGAAAGAAAATCCCATTTGGTTGATAAGAGATTTAAAGGTTGCATTCACCCAAACTGCTACCCACGATTCACAGACTTCATAAACTGATAACTTAGGGTGCTGATAAAGTTATCGGCACACTGAGTACCATATTAAAATAAATAAACTTTGAATGGCGCTTAGAAAACCTGTGTAGGGACAAGATTTCCATCTGCCAGTTGCAAAAGATTACGCTGCTTAGATCCACAGATAACCTACTTCTGCGAATACATTACAACATCTTTGCTTCATGAGAAGAAGATGATACAAATCAAGGCAACGCCTCTAAAGAATTGGCAGTTGTGATTTTCCTGCGCTGGGAACAGACCACAAATATTATTAATAACTAGCCGATAACCAGGCGTTGTCCAGGTATTTATTTAAAGGGTGAAAATGTCCGGACCAAACGTAATTTCTAATGTTGGATTTTCCCCCGTACCAGAGGGAGCCCCCTTGTGGAGTACTGTGAAGCCGTTAACCATGGCAACTCCACCGCAATGTACAGTCAAAGCCATTTTACGGCAGTACAGTAGAAGCCATTTGAAGGCACAACATGCTGTGTCTTAACAGAACACACACACCCGGGAGTATTAGGAGTGTTTAACCCCCACAGTATTTGCTTCTAGAGAGTAAGTCATCTGTGTCCCAAGTTTGGTTGAAATTGCTCAAGGCGTTCCAGAGTTATGCTGGTATACACACATACACACACACACAGCCATTGATAGATAGATGATAGATAGATAGATAGATAGATAGATAGATAGATAGATAGATAGATAGATA